CTCTCTCTCTCTCTCTCTCGCGCCCGCCCACACGGCAAATGCGAGCTTGGATACCGACTCGTCAGCCCGGCACATGACGTAGAGGCCTTAATAATTAGAATAGGGTTTTGGAGTATCATCATACTTCTATCATAATAAGACACCCCCAAAATGATACAGGTGATTATGTAAGCCCCCATATCCCATATTATCGGTGCACCGAAAACCCAGCAGCCCCGCAGGAAAAGCTAAGAAGAACCCACCAAACCTGGAAGCCAAGCCCAAATTTAGCAATCCCAATCACCCCAAACCCGAAACACGAAACCTGCAAAACCCCAAAACTCGAAACCCGAATTTGGGCCTCCAACGTCTCCTCGAAAGTGGCTCCTGCGGCTGGGCTTCTTGCTGTTAGGTTCGTTTCTTTTTTGTGGGGAAGCGCCGGGATTTGGGTTGAGTAAAAATCAGGGCACTTTGGATGTGTTTCTGCAGAGGTTTCAAAGTCTAACGGTTGACCATGCCCTTGCACCCCAAGGCCACAACTAAGACCATGCACTGCCATGCACCTCTGTGCCTCAATGACTTCGTCAGCAAAGAAGCTGAATCTTACGTAAACCAAGTCCATAAAATCATTTTCCCGATGTGTCCTGCCGGGTCACCGCCAGGCCGATCGTCGTCGAAGTCATCGCCGTAGCCTACCCAAACCCACACTCCGGGACTCCAGGGGTTTGGAGAGTCGCTTGTGCCTCGTCGGGTTACCGGACCCAAGACCACGTGCCGTAATACTGGCCGCTCCGGAATACTTCATTCAATACTGGATTGCATGCAGGTCCCAGGATAAGTCGGGAAGCACGGCAGACGTGAGACAACTTGGGGATCTTCGAGCTGTACACGATTTCTATGGTGCCTCCCGCATGCAGCTCGCACTTTTTCGAGGTCCGTGCGGCTCAGGATTTTGTGTAATCTCTGGATTCCCAGAGTTCACGGCTGCATCAGGATCATCTTCCTGTTGCAAAGTGCACAGCTGACGGCAAGCATGCCGCCAGTGACCGTCAGCAACTCGAAGAGCAGCTGCTCCCATTCAACGGGCGGCTCCAGGGGCGCGAGGAGCTCACTGGAGGAGGGGCTCGTCTCGTGGCCGCACGAGCAGGGAGCCCAAGACCACTCCAACCCCTGCAGAAGCAGAGGTCCCCAAGAGAGCCCAAAGGAGGCTTTGGAGCCGAAGATAGATCACAACCGCCGCGAGGGGTACGAAGAGGCCAGGGGCCAGAACCGACACGGGGTGATGCTGGAGGCGCCAATGGAAAAACATGGCGCCGGCATGAAAGGCCGCAACATACGCCTGCGAACACAAGACGGCTTCTTGTGAACCCGAGAAGTTCGCATAAGCAACCACGCCCAGAAGCAGACCGGCAAGAGGCCAGAACCATCGGGGCAAGGAGCCCTTGACCTGCAGAGTGAGCTCCAAAGCACCATGACACGGCTCCGTTACTCCAATCCTGGGCTCGTTTAGGGTTTAGGGGTTTAGGGGTTTAGGGTTTCGGGTTCAGGGTTTTGGGGTTAGGGGTTTAGGGTTTAGGGTTCAGGGTTTTGGGGTTGAGGGGTTTAGGGGTTTAGGGGTTTAGGGTTTAGGGGTTTAGGGTTTAGGGTTTAGGTTTAGGGTTTAGGGGTTTAGGGGTTTAGGGGTTTAGGGCTTATCCAATCCTGGGCTCTGGTTAAGGAATGAAACCTTTCTACCATACTATAGTAAGTAACATGGCTTCCTTACTGCGTCGTTTTCAGGGCCACTTAAACTAAGCTCCCTACTTGGAGGTTCATGGGACTTCGTACGTACAGTCATCAACACCTTAATTGGAGTTATACGAAAGTATAACTAATCGCCATATATATATATATATATATGTATTATATCCCTAGTTAGCCGTGGTTACTAAGTCCCATGATCCTCCCAGTAATCAGTAACCAGAGCCTAGGATCAAAGCCAAACCCTAAACCCCAAAATATACTAGAACGCTGAAAGTGGCCCTTGCAACAACCCTAGCCTTACGGGAACCCTACTTGGGAGTTCATTGGACTTAGTAACTAGGGCTACAAGTACCCTAAATGGAGTTTAAAGTAATTAGAAGTGTAGTTACCTTATTTATGAGAATAGTTCCTAAGTCCCATGAACCTCCAAGTAGCAAGGCCCTAAACCCTAAACCCTAAACCCTAAACCCAGAATCAAAGCGTGTAGTGAGAAAGCCGTCGATTCGGCGACTCGCAGGGCAAAGTCCATGGCTCTCTGGCCCGCAGCCCCCAGGCCCCTAAACCCCAAGCCCTAAACTCTTACTAAACCCTAAGCCCTAAACCGGGGTTTAGGGTTCAGGGTTTA